ACACATATTTGAAAGCTACACATTTTGCAGCTACAGCATCTCAGATCAAGTTAATCCACACTCATTCCAGTTTCATGAGCATCCCAGGAGCCCTTACTACACACCAAGCACATATTGGGATAAAGCAGTGAATCTACTGTTCAAAGGGGGAGGGGGAGGAGAAGCCAGCATTTCCTTTAGTGTGCCCAAGTTCTTGAACATGCCTAAATAACCCTGTTGGACCCTAGCCATAAACTCTTCAGGCTCAAACTAGACATGAAGGCACCAGATCCATCCCTTTCAGTGGGGGGAGGGTCTGTCTAAAATCATATGAAGCAGGGGAAGGAAGTCCAATTGTGAGAGTTAAAAGAGAAAGAGAAACAAACCTCATTCCATTGCTAAGATGTCAATTCTGAAGACATACAGTAAATGAATCAACATTTCATTTTGGGTGCCTTTTTATTTGCTGTCCAGCATCTCTTCTTGTTGATAACTGCATAGTAAGATGCTTGTGTTATGCTAACTTCAGATTATTTCACCGTGGGGCTGTTGAAATTAGTCCCATTGAGGAATGTGAAGAATCTACTTGAGTCATTAAAATATTCTCAAGTGGGAGCAGCTCAAAGAGCTGAGAGAATAAGTACAGTGGATATCTATCGGAAAGGCCATGAGACAATTTTGTGTTTTTACATTTCCTAATCTTAATTTAAAGCATTCCAAAATTCTAATAGAAACATACAAAAATGTGGTTTATGACCAGTTCAGAAATCCTTAATGATATGTTTGAAGAGCAAATATGTCATGCCATGTATTTTTATACTTTTTGTCCCTAAATTGTTTTTGTTTTTAAAAAGCGGAATTGTTTTTATAAAGCGGAATTGGAATGCTGTAATGTAAGTGGAGTAGCAACAATGCTTTCTCCCTCCTGCCATTTATTGCCATGGCAGAGGTTTGGGTGGAGGACACTGAGAAGAAAATTATGGTTTTAAACAATTGCAAAAGGTATGAATAAAGGAGAGATGAAGGGACATTGAGAGGTTGTATTTTTTTTAAAGAAAAACCCCAAACATAACAGTTTTTAACAATGAGAAGTATAACACAGCTGATAACACCAAAAAGTGAAAACAACTGAGCCTTTCCAAACACCCTTCTTACTGTACTGAAATGTTGTTTTAAACAATCACTTCCCCTCTCAGTGTCATCCCCTGCAAACTCCACACAAACCTCTGCCATTATTTAAAATGGCTACTTTTTTCCTTTCAGAGTCCCTTCCTTCTTGCTGTACTCAAACTTCTCCTTCTTCTATTTATCAGCTGCCTCATGTGAGATAGATAAAGGATGTGGAGCCCTCAAATATTCCATAGTACTTTACTCAAACCTCTGCCATTGCTTAAAACTGACACTTTGCTCTAAGTTCTCTACATTCCTGCTTTAAATTCTTCTGCTGTTTTAAACCACAACTTCCCCCCTCTCAGTGATTTTCCATTCTCGCTCCTGTACCACAGCCACTGCTGTTGTACAATCTGCCTTCATTTTTGCTCCCCTATCCTACTCTGCCTTCATGAAAATTCAGGACTGTGAAGAGGTACTACAAATCCTCCAATAGGGGTGAATGATGACAGCCTTACATTTTTATTATATATAGAGAAATATGTAGCAAAACAAATTTCTTTAGTACATTGTACATTAAGGTGTGTAATAAACAAGAGAGATTTCTGAAAGAAATTAGAAATTTTATCAATTTCTAATCTCCAATATCTAATGCTTTCAACCACCATTTCATCAGTGTAGGTGAAAAAGAAGATTTCTATCCACGAGCTAATACAATTTTAGCTGCTACAAAGGAATTCACAATTCAAATGCCCCATAAAAATAAGCATCTCAAGAGCTGAATATATTATTTTCTTGGTGTTTTGAGAGCTTGTCCACAATCTTTGAGGATATCCAGCCAGGTCTCAGTCAGCACAGACCCATTGAAATCAATTAAGCCCAAAGGCTCAGTTCCACATATGACGAACATTGGATGCACCTCTTCATTTGTAGGTCTAAATTGAAAAGTTTCAGCAAAATCCTTCCTTTTGAGATGGTAGGGGAAGCTCATTTAATTCTTCTGAAACATCCACTCCAATTTCAGGGTGATAACCAGCAACTCTTCAATGCCTGTATCTAGTGGTTCAGGGTGGATTCTGTTGGGTCTACATACCAAAGCCAATGTTCAAACCTGTCCACATTCTAATAGCTCTCCAGCTTTTTCAACCATAGAGGATGGTGGGCTGACTCCCACTTCACAAAGCCATTGATTATACATGCAAAGCACTCTATTATCTGGTTTTCCTCCTCAAAAATGAGAAGGTTGTTGGACTTGTTGGGAGTGTTGTTGGAGGAGTGGGAGAACCCATGAAACACAGAAAAGGAAAACTGCCTCATGTTTCCATGGACAATGATCCTGGACCTTAAGGGTGTATTGCAGGGGTGGGGAGCCTACGACCCTCCAGATGTTACTGGACTCCAACTTCCATCAATCCCAGATAGAATGATCAAAGGGCTATAGGATTTGTAGTCCAGAAACAACTGTAGGGCCACAGGTTGCCCACTTCTGCTGGGTTGGGTTATCTATTTTTGTTACTGATCGGAATAAAAAAGAGCATTAATGGTGACAAATAAATATAACAAAATGTGTAAACGTTCACATGGATAAAACATTTCAAATATTTTTCAACTTGTGTTACTGATTTTCTTTTGCTGAATTGTTCAAGATTCCAGGCCCATTTTCTCTATGTGTGTGTTCCAAACAGTCTACGAAGAGCACTTTGCACATCCTTGTTCCTGAAGCTGTAGATTAGAGGGTTCAGCAGAGGGGTGATGATGGCATAGAGCACAGAAGCCAGCTGCTCCCGTTCAGTGGAATGGCTGGAGGATGGAGTTAGGTAAGTGAAGATGATGGTTCCATAGAAGATCCTCACCACAGTGAGGTGGGATGCACAGGTGGAGAAAGCTTTAATCCGACCCCGAGATGTACGTATTTTGAGCACAGTGAAGACAATGAAGATGTAGGAGAGTAGATTTAGGAAGAAGGACATGGTAATGCCACATCCAGAGACTGTAAAGGTCACCAGCTTGCTCAGTCTTGTGTCAGAGCAGGAGAGGTGCAAAAGGGGAGGAATGTCATAGAAAAAGTGCTCTATTTGGTTTGAATTACAGAAGTCAAGTGAGAAAACCAAGGCTGTGTTGATGATAGAGTTGAAGTTGCCAACAGTCCATGAAACTGTTAGCAATCCTTTACAGGTTGGCTGGCTCATCAGCACGGTGTAGCGCAACGGGTGGCAGATGGCTGCATAACGGTCATACGCCATGGCTGAGAGGAGTACACACTCTGTGCCTCCTAAAGTGACAAATAAATAGATCTGGAGAGCACAGCCAGTGAAGGAGATGGTCCTGTCTCCTGACATGAGGTTCCAGAGCATCTTTGGGACAGTGGAAGAGGTGTAGCAGATCTCAATGAATGAAAGGTTGCCAAGGAGGAAGTACATTGGTGTCTGGAGGCACCGGTCCACACAAATCAAAGTCATGATGGCTAGATTTCCTACTAAAGTTAGCAGATAGATTAAAAGTACTAAGGAAAAAAGAAGTTTCTGTTGGGCTGGATCACTGGATAAGCCCAGGAGGATGAACTCTGTGACAACCGTGTGGTTCACCTTCATTCTGCTCATCTTTGACCATCTTTTATGATAGGGCTATAAGACTCCTTGTACCTGAAGCACAACAGCAGATGTCATAAATGTACACTATTAGTGAGAAACAACATCGAGAAGTTAATTTAGAATTTTCTAGGTTTCACCAAATAAATTTCTGGAGAATTATGGAACTGATTGTAGCCGGCAGGCACATTGTTAGGTACTTAAAGCACTTAGGACAGAGAGACCCGTGACACCATAATCTCATTCCAGAAAAAGATGTTGATAAAGATAGTATTTTCTTAAATCTCACATACCAGTTTCAGTAGCTTGCTGGTCTACTTCTGCCTCCTCCACGATGCAGCTGCAAACTAAATTACACCAAGTGTAGTAAATAATGCAGCGAGGTGTTCCTAGGGGATTGTATGAATGTCTACTACTTGATCTCTACAGACAGAATTAGTAGTTACTCATGGAAGGTTTCCTCTAAGGACAGCTTAATATACTGTACAATCAGCACTGAGGATCTTATCAGACCTTTTGCTAACCACTGAAACACAAAATTGACATTGGGATTTTCCATCAGCCTGTATTGTCATGATAACTTTGTTGTTGTAGAAAAAACTGGAAGATATATAGCTGGATATCCTGTACATATAACTTCAGCAGCATTAGGCTAATTTGTCCAATAAGGCTCATGGCAAAAGGAATTCTGTACACTGCGTTGAATTTTTAGATCTACCTTCTGATTTGTGAATGTTATTAACTATTCTACATGTCACACTTGGCATATCTAATAAAAATATCTTGTTCCTTGATTTCAGTAGGACTTGGTACTGGAGTAGTCAAAGTGTTGTCATCATGGTGTTGTTGGAATCCAACTCCCAAAATCCACAGTCATCATGGTCAACAGCCAGAGATGAGACTTGTACTCCAACAATATCTGGAGAGCACCATGTTGGCCACTCCTGACTTAGGATATCACCCAATGTCTTTTAAACTAATCTGATGAATTTTGTGGTGGATCTTAACTTTTCAATTTACTGGTCCCATATCTATTATCTGTTCTTCCCTAGTGCTCTCTGAAGTGCTCCCTGCACTTCCTTGTTCCTGAAGCTATAGATCAGGGGGTTGAGCATGGGTATGATGATGGCATACAGCACAGAAACTAGGCGGTCCTGTTCCATAGAATGAGTGGAGGAGGGCCGTATGTAGGTGTAAATGATAGTACCAAAGAAGATGCTCACCACAGTGAGGTGGGAAGCACAGGTGGAGAATGCCTTGATTCTACCATGAGCTGTGCGGATTTTCAGCACCGAGGAGACAATCAAGGCATAGGAGAGAAGGGTCAGGCAGAATGGCATAATGATAACACACCCAGAGATGGTGAAGGTTATGAGCTGGCTGACAAATGTGTCAGAACAAGAGATGTGCAGAAGGGGAGGTATGTCACAGAAGAAGTGGTCAATCTCATGGGAGTGGCAGAAATTTAAGGAAAAGACCATTGCTGTGTTGACCATGGAATTGAAGTTGCCAACAGCCCATGAAACTGCCAGCAGACTCCTACGTACTGGTGGGCTCATGAGCAGAGTGTAGTGCAATGGGTGGCAGATAGCTGCATAGCGGTCATATGCCATGGCTGAGAGGAGCACACACTCTGTGCCCCCCAACGTGACAAAGAAATACATCTGCAGTGCACATCCTACAAAGGAGATTTTCTTGTCTCCCAACAAGAGATCCTACAGCATCTTGGGGACTGTGGTGGAAGTGTAGCAGATCTCAATAAAAGAGAGGTTTCCCAGGAGGAAGTACATGGGTGTGTGGAGGCTCTGGTCCACCCGAATTAATACAATGATGGCCAGATTCCCCGACAAAGTCAATAGATAGGCTGAAAGTCCTAAGGCAAAGAGAAGCATCTGATTCTTCACATCAATAGAGAATCCCATGAGGATAAACTCTGTGACACTTGTTGTATTCTGTCTTCCCATAGATTTGAGGGAGTCCATCTTTGGTCAGGATAGTGAGCCTTCCTAAGTGGGAGGGGAGGTCACAGCAGTTTGATCTGTTAATGCTGGTAGTTCTGTAAATAAGAAGCAGTGAGTCAGTTAGGTTGTTTGCAATTAAGCTTTTATTGTTCACCTACAGTTGTCATTGTAATTTCACAGAATGTCTAGGCCAGGGCAGAAGGCATCCTGTGGGTAACTGCAGTCAAATATAACTAGCTAGCTTAGGGCTAGTTAATGCATGAATGGGCTAAGACCATAGAATTGTATTCTTAGACTCAGTTAGGTCACACCCCCTCACCTCTGGTGAAGTGAAACTTCCTTCTTCACTTGCTTTCACCATGTGAATTCATCAAGATAGGATGTGATTGAACTTGCTCTCTAAAAACTCAGATCATGTGCTTAGAACTATTTCACTATTTTTGTATACTATTCTGGTGTTATTTGCTTCCAGAAAAAAATCTGTTTGCAAATAACATGAAAATATGTGTTAAAACTGCAATATATTCCACCATATTTCCAGAAGCGGTTGTTATGTTGTATGAAATGTCCAATACAATGTGGCAGTTAATAGTTAGTGAAGCAATGGGAAAATAAAATAAACTGCTGTATCAATGTAGAGTAGACTACTTGAAATCAATGACGTTAAGTAACTTCAGTCCCTTGATCTTAATGGATCTATTCAGGGTATGCCTATGTACTGATGGGTATGCCTATGGCAATGTACTGATGGGAGCATTAAAATGCAGTTTCCCCATAGGATAAAAAGTATTAATGCTAAATAAATCAGGAAACGTGATTACAGGATAATTCTGTAAAATTACTTTAGAAATCTATGCACATTATAAAGCAAACCTAAAACATTTACAAATCTTTAAACTAGAAATACAAGGAAACATTTAAAATGTAAAAAATAATCAATAAACAATTCATGATTCCAAGGCTATTAAGAAAATCTTAAGTGCCAGAAAGCCATATTTGAACAACTCCCCTTTCTCTGCTACATAGGATGCTAAAAGGGCACTTGTAGAGGCAGGTTTCATTCCTAGTCATGGGTTGGTATGCAGCTAAAATGTTCAGAACAAGTTCTGCATGGTTCCTACCCACTTCTACAAATGCACAACTGGTTATTACCAAGAACAAAAAGGCATTCCATATTTCTGACACAGATGCCCTATGTCTCTCTCCAGGAACCCAAAGACACTTCCACAATTACATGAATATGCTGTCATGAACAGGGTTTGGGGAGGGGGACAGGACTGGAGAGGAGCAGTTCCCTGGATAAGTGCATATGAGACCTATAAGCTATTCTGGTATGAACTCCAAAACTTTTATTTAGAGCACAATGCTACCTCCCTCCCTCCAATGTTAATGGGTGGTGTGGTGTCCGGATGCTGTCAGCGGCTCCCGGCTGGTTGCCCAGGAAATTATAAAGACAAGGAAAGGTTTCTTACCATCCTTTCTTATTTCAATATTCACAGAGAGAGGCTATAAAACCCAGCCTCTTGGATAATGGCATTGTCCTGAGTGAATCTCCACCCCCCCGTCTCTCTCACTTCACCATTCGGCACTTCTACGGGTGTTGCTATGTGCCTTCTGTCTTTGAGCTCTTTGCTCTCTTACTTTCAAGGCTCACCGGGTTCTGGGATATGGATGATCCGGGATGCTTTCTAATGACACAGTGTCAGCCAGCCACTGTTCCCCTTCTGCCTCCTCCTCCTCCTCCTCCTCTCCCATTATTTCCCAACTTTCCCCCTCATCTGCCTCTGAGCTGTGACCTCCCGCAAACCACTGTTGTAAATCTATACTGTCTTTCTCTTCCTCCTCCCTGGAAGGGTCAGGAAGGGGAGGCAGTCTCCACCATTCCTCCTCTGCCCAGTCCCTGACAGGTGGGTATGTCTACTTGGTGACAACACTGAAGTTAAGAAGAAGGAAGGGTTACCGGTAGTTAGCTTGCCTCTCCCTTTCCTTTTCATGGTGCAGGCAGTGCTGGATTACCAAATAGGCAGAGTAGGTGCTGGCCTATGGGTGCCATGCCTGTTAGGGGCTCAGCGACAACAGATCAAAATAATATTGATTTGATCTTGAAATTGGTTTATTAAAATTGTTGGTTGGTAAAATCAAAAACATAATAGGAGATAATTTGTGAGGGGCCCCTGAGATTTTGACTGCCCAGGGACCTCCACAGGGTTTAATCTGGCACTGGACTCAGGCTATAGCCTATATCTGCTGCCCTAGTCAGGGTGATGGGAGTTGTGGTCCAGCAGTCTCCAGAGGGCCACAGGTTTCCCATCTCTGGAGTAGACCTTTATTTCCTTTGCCCACAAAGGACTGTAAACACTACAAGAAGTCTGTCTCCAACTATTAAAACATCTGTTATATTGGCCATTAGTTAAAGAAGAAGTATGTTTATTAATAAAACAAAAGGTGGCATTTGTAGAAGAGTGAAAATAGAAAGAGACACCTTAAACAGGATCACATTTTGTATCTCAGAACAATCCCTGAAGTTGCCCACTGAGCTGTTTTCACAGTCCAGAAAACATGAGAAGAGCCATAGTTGAACAGGTAAGAGCCTCATTTCTTACCTGTTACTATGTATGCTGCTTCAGAATGTAAAAGAGATACTACTGTTACCAGCCATTGCCAATGGGTGCTTCTTTCTTGGCACTGGAATTATCTCATCATCATCATCATCATCATCATCATCATCATAATTTTTATTTATACCCCACCCTTCCCGGTTCAGAAAACCGGGCTTAGGGTGGCTAACAACAAATTTAAAACACTTAATTGTAAAAGCAGGATCAAATACAGTCTAAAAACATGAATAACAATAAAATTCTCATCACCTTGAGAAGTCAAAATTCTTCCTGCCCTAGGCCCCAGTTGTTCTGGGGTGGCTTTTATCTATTATTTGAGAACCTTCATCTCTTCATTGAATATCTACTACAGCCATCCTTTTGCTGTTTTTCTTTTTTAAAACCAAGACTATTTCCTCTGGGGCTGCAAGGTATAATGGGCATGAAGAAAAAGAGAGCAAATGGATGATCATTAGCACTGCCTCTTGGGAGAGGGAGAAATAAGTTGATCCAGAAATAATAATAAATAATGCTTGTGGCCTTGGAAGTAAAGTAGACTTGGGGCTGCCGAGTTTGTCAATAATTGCTCCCGGGGGATACTGTGAATCAAAGAGGACTACATCTTCCTTTAAATGTGTGGCTGCTGCTCACTGATTTCTCCCATGGTGTCACAGTAGTATGTACTTAAATCAGCACTGCCTTATGATGTCATTTTGCTCAATGGCTCCCAATCCCATCTCTGTGTATTGGTGACAGCTTGTGCACAGGAGAGGGGCATACAGTTTTGGAGAAACTCCAAACACAGTGGTGTCACATGGATTTTATGATACACTACCAGGAGTAGCCATACAGTGAAGGCCCTGACAAGGACCTGCGGTCCACCAGGTGTTGCTTTCCTGATCATTAGGGCTGATGGGAGTTGGAGTCCAATGACATTTGGAGATCACAGATTCTTGCCCCTTCATTATAAATTCTTGTAAGGCTATTTTTATTTTATTTTACCAGAAATCAGAACACAGTTTACACTTATGAATTTAATGGATTTATTATCCACCCTTCACCATAAGATCCCAGGATAAGTTTACAGCCATATAATAATAAACCATTAAAATAAACTTAAAAGTTTACATTCCGATATTAAATACAGTGGTAACCTCGGGATGCGAACAGGATCCATTCCAGAGCCCTGTTCACATCCCAAATGGAATGCAAGACATGACAGCGCGTCTGCGCGTGAGCGGGTCGCTTTTCGGCGCTTCTGCGCATGTGCATGATGTCATTTTGACGGTCTGCGCATGTGTGCACGGCGAAACCCGGAAGTAACGCGCTCCATTACTTCCGGGTCACCGCGGAGCGCAACCCAAATTTGCCTAACCCGAAGCGTATTCATCCCAAGGTATGACTGTATTAAAATAAATTATTTTAACACTGCATTAGTAGCCAACAGTTTTACTAGCATAAAGCAAGTCAGTGTAATGAAGCTGGCATAAAGTTACACCAGAGCTAAACCCCTTTCAGCATCAGGGATGTTGTCGCTGCTGCTCTGCCAAAAGTTGGCAGAGGGGAAAACAACCTTTTCAAAGAGTGTCCTATGCCAGCTTGTCAGGTCATGTAACTGAGCTGCATGGGCTTAGAAAACAGACCCCAACCCTCTGGTTCCACACCAGGAAATGGCAACTGAAGCATAATTTAGCAGTGTCTATTATTCTGGATAGTATTTCAGGTACAGTGGTACCTCGGGTTACAGACGCTTCAGGTTACAGATGTTTCAAGTTACAGACTCCACTAACCCAGAAATAGTACCCCGGGTTAAGAACTTTGCTTCAGGATGAGAACAGAAATCATGCGGTGGTTGCACGGCAATAGCAGGAGCCCCATTAGCTAAAGTGGTACCTCAGGTTAAGATCAGTTTCAGGTTAAGAATGGACCTCCAGAACAAATTAAGTTTTTAACCCGAGGTACCACTGTACTCAAGTGGTTAACACTAAGGGAGGTGATACAGCTGCTGGGATGAAAACTTGCAAAAGGCATTTGGATTTGAAAGCAAGCATTCTCACTATGCCTGGATGAGAGAGTTGTTTAAATTAAAGCTTGAATCTAAGCATGTTTTTGTTGTGGAAAATCCATTTGATTTCCCATTATATTCTGAGAACATATAAAAAAGAAAGCTGGCAAAATATTTCAGGAATGCTCTAGGGAGCTCTTCAGGGGCCCTTTACAAAGACATTTAGAATTTTGGAGGAGCATGCAAATTATATTGATTTCAAAGGGGAAAAGTTAAGCAAGAGATCTGAGTTTCCTATTCACAGCCACGAGATGTTAAAGTAGCTAACTTTGGCTGGGACATACCCATTCACATCTGCTTAAAATGGATAACTATCTTTTAAAAAAATCCTTATGGCATGATTCATCTTTCCACATTCTCTTTCTCTTTTGTTTATACTCGATGTAAATTGCATGGGTGCACATACCTGTCTACACACTAGCCATTATTCACAAAGGGAGGCTAGTGTGCACTTCATATGGAATGATCCAAGAGCAAAATAGACTTTCCCACTTTTAGGTGGCTACTCTGCTTTAGTCAATGACAACAATAGATATGAACACTGTAAATATTGCTTAATATTTTAATGTGCCCACTCACTGGCATTCCAAGCAAAACAGAGCTTCTCAGTTTTTTTGTCGTGAGGTGTAACCAAGGCCTGTCTAAAGAAAAAACCGTGGGAAACTGACATTCATGTGGGTTCTGGAAATTCAGTGCCTTCTTCTATCAAGTCCTTTGCATGACTTTTCGGAAAGCCCCTTGCACATCCTTGTTTCTTAAGCTGTAGATGATTGGATTAAGCATTGGGGTGAGGATCCCATAGAGCACAGGCAATGCCCGGTCCTGCTCCTGGGAGTAAGTGGAGTTGGGACGAATGTATGTGAAGATGATGGTACCAAAATAAATGTTGACTACAGTCAAGTGTGAAGCACAGGTGGAAAATGCCTTGAGCCGCCCTTCTTTGGTGCGGATCCTTAGGATGGTCAAGACTATGTAGACATAAGACACCAGAGTAACCAGGAAGGAACCCATGATCACACCTCCACCCACCACAAAAGTAGCAATCTGATTGACCTGAGTGTCAGAACAGGAGAGCTGGAATAGGGGTGGGATGTCACAGAAAAAGTGCTGGATGACATTGTCCCGACAGAAGGACAAATGGGACATCAGGCCTGAGTGCACACCTGAGTTAGACAAGCCAAGGATCCAAGCAGCTGCTGCGAGCCAGGCACACACTTTTCGGCTCATGAGCACACTATAGTGCAGTGGGTGGCAAATGGCTGCGTAGCGGTCATATGCCATGACACCCAGCAGAAGGCACTCGATGCCACCAAAGGAGATGAAGAAGTACATCTGAGAGAAGCAGCCAGCTAGGGAAATACTCTTGTCTTGAGAGAGGTAATTTATCAGCATCTTAGGGACTGTGGAGGTTGTGTACCCAATGTCCACTACAGAAAGATTGGCCAGAAAGAAATACATGGGGTTGTGAAGTCTGTTGTCCAAACTGATTATGAGAAAAATTAAAATGTTTCCAATAAGAGCCACCAGATAAATTACAAGAAAGAAACCAAAGAGAAGGACCTGGATCTCAGGATTGTCAGAGAGTCCTAGGAGGATAAATTCTGTGATGGCTGTTTCATTCAGGATCATCTGTAGTGGCAGTGTCATCTGTGAAGAAACATGGATGTAGCATTTTTCAGCTATTTTGTTTTTCCTTCCAAATTTGAGATCTGAAATGTAAGACTTAGCCACACAATTACATGTACAAGTACAGGCACTTTCAGTGCACTACAGCTCTGATTAGTTAATACAGTGGTACCTCGCAAGACGAATGCCTCGGAAGATGAAAAACTCACAAGACGAAAGAGTTTTTCATTTTTTGAGTTGCTTTGCAAGACGAATTTCCCTATGGGCATGCTTCGCAAGACAAAAACGTCTTGCGAGTTTGTTTCCTTTTTCTTAAAACCGCTTGAAGAGGTGCAGTTGCGACTTGACCGTGCTTCACAAGACGAAAAACTCGCAAGACGAAAAGACTTGCGGAACGAATTAATTTCGTCTTGCGAGGTACCACTGTACACAGGAGCCTTGAGGCTGATTTCAATTCTCTTTCACTTTTCCCAACTCTGCCGCATCTCCCCATCCTAAACTCTTAGCTCTTTTGTTTCTTTAGTGTTCCATGAATAAATGGAACACTTCCTTCCAGAAGCCTCAGATAAATCTCAGTAGCGTAGGAATATCTGATCCAGTCTGAGGGTTTGTGGAAGGAAGGGGCTATATTTGTTCTTGGGGAATTAAAGGTCATTTAAGGAGTAGAAGTTCAGAAGGGGGACAGGAACAGTCACAGATGGAAGAGTTTGCCTCACATCTCCCCGAAGAGATATTTCTTAATGAGAAAATTTCTGAGAACAATAATCTTTTTCATTTTCTCTTCCCAAAAAATATTTTGGAAAATGTTCATTGAATGTTCTCCCACTTTCTGCAATGGCTCCCATCCCACCACGCCTGACCTGTTGCATTCCCTAGAAGGCTTCATTGCAGAATTTCTCTAAATATTCTACACCACTTTTTGTGGCATGCACTACCCTTTTACCCAACAGCACTAGCATAATATTCTGTTGCAAAATAATAATAATAATAATAATAATAATAATAATAATAATAATAATTTTTATTTATATCCCGCCCTCCCAGCTGAAGCTGGGTTCAGGGTGGCTAACAACAATAAAATAAATGACCTCTTATCAATAAAACATGACCTCTTATCCCACTTTCCCGAGCAGCTTGACTTTCCAAGGATGACTTCATTAAGCAGTCTGTCTCCTCTCTCTGATTTAAAAATGAAGCATTGTGAAGTTTGCTGCTAAGGCTACTGCATGTTTGTCAAAAGCAAATTAACTGCAGCTTTCTCTGAATACCCAAGTTAACAAACAAAAAAAAAAGAAAGAAAAAGAAAGAAAGAAGAAAGAAGACCTATCATTTCGGTGTCTATCTGTATGCTGCTGTCTAATTAAATTCAACTTCTTGAATTTAAAACAGGGGTAGGGAACCTGTGACCCTGCAAATGTTATCGGACTCCAACTCACATCAGCCCCAGTTATGATGGTCAAAGTTCAGGAATGATGAAAGTTGTAGTTCAGCAACATCTGCAGTGTCACAGCTCCCCTTTTGCCGATAGAAAACAATTTGGGGGTGACATTGTAAATGGTATTACCTTTTGTGTGAAAGACCAATATATAGCAGTAATGAATCCCTTTTTACAAAAATGGAGCACAGGCAAGCATTCCAAAGTCTCCTTGGATTTTGAAAGCAGCAAGACAGAAAGTTGAGTTAATTGTGCTTTCGTTCAACATTAAGTCTCCCACAGTTCCCAGCCAGCCAGATATTCATAAACAGGATTTGATACAGCTGGTGCTCTATGCTACCAGCATTTGTTATTAAGCAGTATACTGCCCATACATCTGGAGGTTCAATTGTTCTGTTTCTAGTGTTTGAACTGTGACTTATTTCTTTAACAATGCACACACATGCATGTGACACACACACACACACACACACACACACACACTGCTTAATTGTAAACAAAACCTCTAAACACTTGCA